GGTCTTCGTAGCTCCCTTGGCTTCATACCCTCCTTCTTTCTTTCAGGAATGCTTAATTTGGCTGTAGGGAAGGTAACATCCCCCAGTATCCGGCATAACTGTGCGTACCGGGTCCTTTTGGTCCCGTCAAAAGCGAGGCTGGCTAATGCTGCCAGAGATGTTTTTCCGGCCCCTCTCTTGATGATGAAAAAAAATAATAATAATAATCTTGATCACGGGCATTTTCTACAATTTCTCAGGAGAGAGTTATCGCTCCAGCAGCGAGGTCGGTTTTATACTGCCACTAAACAGCTCGAACATTGGACTGAATGACGGTCAAATACGTTCAGGAAAGCCCTACCGTAGTGGGAGGGTGCCCCAAGTGTCTTCGTTTGGCACGAGATCTGGGACCAAGTCCCACTTACCCGAATTCTCTACTTTTGACCGTAGATTACAATGATCGGCGGCCAGAAATGAAGAGTCAGGGAAAGTGGGACTTGGCCCTCGCAGTTCCGATTCAAACACAGCAGGGCAAGGATGGCAGGCCCAGCTTTCCGCTTCTTTTTTCCCCTTTTTATTCCGGAGGATCAGCTTTCCGCTTCGCCAGGACCGGTTCCTCGCCGTGCTTGTCGGGCGACTGCAAGACTGCCAGCCTGCAAGTAATGGACCTGAAGACTGTCACTGAGACGACCAGGGAACCTCTGGCCGCGGTGAACGCGGGGACGCTCTGCTCAGATGCCGTTCCAGTACAGACTGCTGCTCGTTCAGTTTTTTCTTTCCCTCCACTTTTTTTTTTTGTTTTGTTTTGTTTTTTTTTCAACTCAGAACAGCCCGCGCGGGTGCTAGGGGTGCTGGTAAGAGAGGACACCGCTAGCACTCCCGGGGAGGCTCCATCTATTGGTGGGGACCCTCCACTTTTTTTTTGGCTCTCGCCCAAGCCCGTCTTTCTTACGTCGCTGAGTCGTGCGAACGATACACCGATCGACGGCTGGAATCCGGCCGAACAAATTACACAGGGGAAAGCGTGCAGCGAAAGGGCCGTGACCACGAACCAGACCCCCCCTTTCGCTGATCTATTTCCCGTAATTTCAATCCAGACCCCGCCTTTTGCTGATCTGTTTCCCGTAATTTCACGACACGACATTCAAACTCCTGCCCGACAGGGGGCGTCCAGTCCTTAGGGCTGCACAGAGTGCGCGAGCAGTCGAACATATGCTCCGAAACGACAAGCTGAGTCCTTAGGGCAGCACAGAGTGCGCGAGCAGTCGAACATATGCTCGGCAACATATGCAACGGACTGAAAAGTGGAAAAGTGGACGGAGAAATGCATCCTCCTGGCATACCACAGACGGGTCACGGTCAAGGCTTGAACTACTGTTATACAGCGTTTGACGCGGGGACACAGCCATTCGGAGAGCATGCTTTATGTTCTAGACAGTAAGTTTTGCAATCAGACTCGTTCTCATTCACACTTTCCACGCATGTAAACAGCAGTGCAGCATACTGGCGATATGGCGACTCAGCGCCCAAACAACTCACTGTTCACATACACCGGATCACCCTGGATATCCCACACACGTCACTCTGAACACTCACACATACACACACATGCACTTCACACTACTACAGCTATGGCAGCTATGGCTGCCTCTACCCTATCGCTATACTAAGCTCCTCCTCTCTCGCCCACTGCGTCCTCCGGGCTCACTGCAGACCTCCTTGCACAAGTCGCCGAGGTAGCGCTTCCGCATGGCTCACGCAGGAATGAATGAATGGCTGGGCGCTGCCTCTTGATTTATACTTCTGAAACTCATTGGTCTGCCCCTTGCCATCGGCCCATGGTGCTCACAGTCCCTTGTGGTACTTGCTGGACTCGACTGGGACTGTCTGGACGTTACCGCAGACTGACTGGGGACTCACTGCTGTCCCACCGGACTCGTACTGCAATCGCACTGCGGTTTAGTCCACCACTTGACTCACCACTTGACCACTTGGCTCGCCACTTGATCACTTGGCTCACCACTTGACCACTTGTCGAGCTTCTAGAAGGGCTACAGCTAAGACTTCTGGAACTCACTAAGACTTTTATTGTACAGATCTACAGATCAAACCCCTACCACCTACGGACCTATGACGGCCTATCAACTGTT